CGGTATATCATTATCTGCAGGCGAGTAAACTAACTTCTATACCAACGAGACAAGAATATATTAACTAAACTTTCCAAGCGATACATAAAGAATGAAACAGAGCGACTCCACGCATCCCGTTGTTCCATTTATCGCAAACGCCGATACAAAATGGAGTATCACGATACAGGAGCCACTGACTTATGTCGTGGAGGCATTCCTTGTTGATATGTTCATCGCAACAATAAATAATGCCGCTCAATTAAGTGTAACGTGTTTCGCTTCGGTTATGATTCCTATAACTTATTCGCTGTTTTAAAACTAACGCTGGGCCTGTATTTAATACAGGTTGAAAGAAGATAGAAGAAAAATGATATGTAAAATAAGTATTCATTTATATTCTTTATTGCACAAAAAAGAGATATCACTTATATGTTAGAATGAAGTCAATGGGCGGCTTTAGAGCTAACAAACGATCTCTTCCAGGTAACCTAAAATAGAGAAAATGAGATGTTCAAGGTGGGCGGTATAAATTAATACTATAATATAAATTAATACAAATAAAAAATACTTAATAAAATTATTCAAAACTTTAAAAAAACATACAGATCTAAAAAACGTTACGTTTTTATTAACTTAACTTTTAACGCCCTTATCTTTTCTTTAAGTTGTTTTCTTAAGTTATATTTGTTTTGGGAAATAATCCACAAAAAAGATTTTTAAGACAACCTCAGAAAATCGTAAGACTTCTGTAAAAGACCTAAAAGAAGACTTTATACTTCCATGCATCTTTCTTTGGACTGCAATTCTCACTACATTGACACAGTAACCACCGCTGTGTCTACTTACAGAGAAATCGGAGACAATGTACAACAACAATGCGAATGACGACGTAAATCTTTTCACATGGTTAAGAATTGCTTCCTGTATGATATTAAGATCATACCTTATATATTCTCTAACATAATAATATAATATATGCCTAAAAACCGAACTTACACTTCGTGATAGAAAGTCGCTGTAGTCTCTTAATCTTGAGCATGACCAATATAAATGGACATCAGCAACCTGAACAAACCCAATGCGCCAACATCGAGTGTACAAACAAATTATAAAATGTTAATAGAAGGGCACCTTTGACTCGCAGCCACAATACATCATTGTCAGCCGACGTACGAGACCGTCCATATCTTAAGTCTTGATATAAAGCTGCGCGTTCACTTAGACATATTCTGAAAAATTTTAACAAAAAAAACCCGATAAGCGCTTGTTAGCGTTTCTAGATTATATTAACATTTGCAAGTTTAATCTGTTTTTTGTCAATCTTGACCATTGTTTCGAATTGAAGTAACCTTAATCCATTAATTTGTTGATTAGTGCACAACATTAACCACTCTTTAGTGATTAAAGTCAACACTAAAGTAAATCAAACACTATTAACGGTTTAAACGCGAAATATATTAGTTTAACTGATAGTTTATTTACTTTCACTACGCCTCAACTTTTCAATCCTTGTAACAGCTGTGATGACAAGAAAACCACCTTTTTAAACGTGGTAGACTTTTAAATGTAATACTTCACGGTACTACAGCACATTTGCGTAAACACAGACGACGCTTAACCAAGGCATATTATATTATCATTTTGTACTTGGCTATCAGTTATTAGGTATGTTTTATAACATCATTTATGTCGCCATACAAATACAAAACATACATACAATAAAATAATAGTTACTTAAACTATTTAAATTTAGAAATATATATGTAACCTAAAGAAAAAGGCTTTCTTTACAATCAAACATTGCATATTAGATAAATATTAATCATAATGTAATGGTAACATATTCTTGAATAATTTTGACACGTTATGTTTAATGAGTAGCTATAGATTTCCAGTCTATTCTAAATATATTTTTAACTTATTTGCAACTTATTGAATGATGAATATATGGCCTGTCTGTAAGTAGCATTTGTTATTATAATTCAATATATAATTAAGAACGTAACCATGAAGCACTTACCTATTAAAAGCATTGAACATTTTATATATTAGTGTACGCTAACCCTTATTTTCTATTAACGTTCAATCTAAGTTCCCACATTAAAGTGAGACATCACACGTAAGCTATAAAACGTCGATAGTCTAATCTCATGACCCTCTTTTGCCCCGCCGGTTAAATTGTGATCAGTATTAATATCAGCAATTTACCTAATCGAATATTATAATATTTCTAACCGTTTAATACGCGTTGATTAATGTAAAAGCTATAGGATGTTTTTTTATGTTTCTCTCGACTATTATGCTTATAGCGTTTTCCGGTCACAGTTCAGCAGTTGCGGCTAAAAAAAAACGCTCCATTCACTTACTACTATACTTTCTTTTATTTTAAGATTTTTAGAAGAGCTGATGAAACAATAAATAATCATGTGATGCGATCGTGATTAATCTGTGCATGGTTGTGAAATGATTCATTAGAATAGCATAACTTTGGAGCTGTATAAATTCAACCTGCACGTAGAATATTATTTATTACAATAGGTTTTTTTTTAAAGACTTTTAACGGCTTAAAACGTGAAATGTATTCGTTAAACCGTCAAAAGAGTTTTATTTAAATTTGTGCTACTCATGTACACTGCTATATTGAACTGCTCTGTAATAGATCTAAATAGCGTTTAAAGAGATTTGGGCAACTGTTCTTAGTGGTCTGTACGTCAGAGAATAAGCACAAAATTAATTTCTATCATTACCAGTGTATTGTAGCGTTATTCGGTCTCAAATACTTTTCCGATAAAGTGATATTACCGTAATTTATATTTTCATTATTACCTTTAAAAATTAATAATCGTATCAGACATTTCGTACATCTTCTCATAAATTAAAAATTCTTTGAAGTTTGAAGTGATCACTTAGTCATGAGAAATTACACTATATCGTTACATAACGCGTTACAGCTCCGTTATATATGGCTAGCCATTCTCTTGACTATCATGTGGTCTATTAATATTAAATCGTTTTACTTAAAATTAGCTAACGTTATTATTTTTGTCGTGTGTTGCGAGACACACTTTTACTTTAAATTTTCTTCATCAAACATGTTTAAATGTATTTAAATTCGTGTTGATTTCAATCTGTAGGTTTTAAAATATCCAAAGACAAAGTGTGAATAAGTTATCACGCCTTCCATCAAGTAAACGGTGCTTATTGCCTCCTCTATTAAAAAAAAATACAAAGAAAAGTTACGATTTCAATTAATTAAACGTTGTTTTTTAGTCTGAAATGACTTTTTAAATATTTAGGGCCATATAATTTAAAATTTTCATGTAATAAGAAAAATCTTATGCTAATCTGCACTGTCAATATCTTCAAGTTTACCTCGGAGCGTCAAGTTATTTACGACACTATACTTCAAGTTAACTTTAAGATGTACATATCTTGATGCGTTGTTTCGGAAGTCCATTATAAAGGTACCAACGGTGATACCAAGCATAATGTACTAAACCCCAGGCCAAAATCTGCGTGGTCAGGCTTCGTGCGATGAATAAGAATTATTTTATTATGGGCGAGGAAAAAGTAGCGATCGTTGGGTCGCCCCGGGCTATTTCTGAAGGAGCGCTGGTTGGAACAGAGGCTTGAATAGAGCGGCCTTACAAAACTTTGAAATCACTTGACGAACATGGCTGGTGAACGGTACCCTGTCGTATTTTAACTTTGGATTAGGTAATTATGTTTGTTTGATTGTTTGAACGCGCTAATTTTCAGGAACTACGAGTTCGAATTGAAAAATTATTTTGTGTTAGTTAGAACATTTATTGAGGAAGGCTATAGGCTATAAAACATCGTCGTGTGACTAATAGGAGCGAAGATACAGTGGGAAATGTGTAAAAATTTGAAAAATTATCATGGGTTTCCGAGGCGTACGCTGCAAAAAAGGTACAAGATACCCAAAAAATATCTATAAAAGAATGATTTCTCTTTAAATAATATAAATAAGTCCGCGACACTATATGCCTATCTTTTTAGATTATCCCGCAAGAACGACGGGACAGGACGCGACCGACGTCGTATAAAATAACTATTCCATGCGGACAAAGTCGCGAGCATACCAGCTAGTTTATGAATACAAAATTAAAATAAATAGCGACTCCACGCCACCTCTGTTCACTTGTCGTCTTACGCTTTGGGCACGCATTGTCCGTGGTACAAATGTGATCAAATTATAAAGAGTGGCGGTTGCCGATGGCGATCGCTCCCGCTCCCTATACCCACTCCGATCTACCAGCGCTGCATATTGTAACATGTCTTTAATTGTTATGTATGCCTGGTAGACTTTTCACAGGTTTTCATCTATATTTTCTTTTATAATTCTTAGCATCATCTATTCAAAAGTTTCAATTTTCGTTAGTTAAAAAACCATTATGTCAAAACAAAATATTATGTTATAATAGGGAGATCTTGTTATTTTTTTGTATATTTTATTAAGCTATTGTAATCTATAATCTCTTCATTATTATATTAATCATATCAAAAGCTACCGACCACAGACGCCATTATAAGTCTAACCAATTAATTAATTACAATAACTATTACAAATCCTTAAAAAAACTTATACAGGGATAAGTATTAATAGGAAAAAAATAAAAACGATAAAATAATAAAAGCAAATTATTTTATTTATTTATTTATTTATTAAAAACCAATCACACACCTTTACAGAATAACAATTCCAACATGATAGTGAGTTACAATTAATCATTTAAATAAAATTAAAATTAATAGTTATCATATTACATATAACGCTACTACATATACGTTATAGTCTTTATGAACTCGGTCACTGTACAATTAAAAATGTCTATTTTACAATTAACACTGTTAAGAATGTGAAGTGCTCGCATATTCGGGGAATCATACATTAAGTTTGTTCTCGCGGGACTGATGGCGAACAGTGATCTAGTACGTCGTCGTAGGTAGGCATCTGGGACGTAGAAGCTGATGGACTGTAGCACCGTGGGGTCATATTATGTGATGCCTCTCAGCACCTTGAACACATACGTGGCCAACGCCAGGTGCCTCCGTGCTTCGAGCTTAGCGTATCCAACCATGCCTAAAACGAATAACGTCGGATACATTAAGGGGTAGTAAGGATACACCCCGTAATGCCTTTGATATAAGTGTCTCGTAAACTTATTTTGAATACGCTCTAGCATACTGCTATACTTAACTTCGTGTGGCGCCCAAAGAACGGCGTTGGATTCCAACTGACTTCTTACTAATGCGTTATACAGCACTGTGATGGCTCTGGTACTGGTGAATGCAGACGCTCTCCGAAGGACAAAACCCAGTCGCTTATAAGCTTTCTTACAGACACTGACTATGTGGTCTCTAAACGTGTACCTTGCGTCTACTGTAACTCCGAGATCACGTACAGATTGCACTCTTTCCAAAGGTGCGCCTGCCAATTTGTATTCGTACCGGGGCTAATTGGGGCTTTTGCTTTGGTAAATGTTATGACGCATGACTTAGATAAATTAATTTGTAGCTTGTTAATTTCGCTCCACGTCTTTATTTTATCTATATCTCCCTGAAGATTAATGCAGTCGCCTTTGTCCTTGACTGCCAATAAGAGCTTTACGTCGTCGGCAAACAACAAACACTTGGCTTTTCTTACTACGTCAGGCAAGTCGTTTATCATGATCGAAAAATGCAAGGATCCTATATTGCTCCCTTGACTTACGCCGGAACGAGTAAAATATGTCGCAGATTGACATCCACAATACTCCACGTACTGTTTCCTATCCTTTAGGTAGCTGGCAAAAAACCATAATAGTTTAGGAGTGCATCCTATTTTTGCCAGCTTCGAAAGTAGGACATCGTTATCCACTACATCGAAGGCCTTTTTGTAGTCGAAGTAGGCTGCATCCACCTGCACCCCGGAGTCAAAATTAAGTTACAATATAAGTGTTTTTTATTTTATGTTAGCGTACCTATCTTATTTACTTCTTTACTAAATGTCGTTTATCCCTTCTTTACAATCAATAAACGTATAATACAAAGATATTGAAAATTATAACCCACATAATTTCAAAGCCGCTATATTTATCACACGTACCGACATACTGGCTAGGCCATAACTATTATAATCCATGTTTATTACAGGGTCAAAACTCTTACAGACTAATTATATTAATAGGAATTTGTACGGTTCTTTATTGTATTATTCCTAATTATATGACAGGCAAAGGCGGTCATGTTGTAAGATTTAATCGGTTATAGTTTGAAAGTGAAATTAGATGAATCATCCAAGTAAACGGAATTACGTTAGTAACAGTTAGTAAGTGCAAAAACAACACTTTAGCGGTTTAAAACGCGAAATATTAATTGAAAATTATTTTAACCACGGCCCGATGTTTGGGATGCTTTGCAGCAGTTGTGCTTATAATTTAGTGACCGTTTGTTTTTAATATTTCGTGTTTTAAACCGTTAAACTGTTTTATTCAAATGTGTATTTTATTAACATTGTTTTTTAACACGATGTATTTTATTACTGCTTTTAGATTCTGGTTCGTTTAATAGATAATCTAGTCGAAAGATTTTTAAAAGTGCTTGATTTAAAAGTTTTCCAACTACGCGTTACAAAATATTCCACTGTGTTACAGTAGTTGTTCGCCTCCGGTACAATAAAACCGATAATTTAGCAAATTTATTCAGCCAATCGAGCCTTTTGTTTCGTCGTAATGAGCGGTTACCGCTCTCGAATTTAAAATCCCATTATCTTATAATGTCCACTGTGAATTTAGTGAGCATTTATCGACCTGGGGGGCAATTCTCAAAAATATGATACAACTTACGTTTACTCCTGATCGATTCTATACTAGACTGACATAATTTATGACTTAAATAGGCGTCAATTTTATAATAAATTGTCAACTTAATTGAAAATCAATTATAAATGGAAAATCCGGCAGGGCTTGAACTTGGCTTGAATTAAGCTAATGTCGAATTTTTTCACCGTAATATTTCACCTTACCTTTCGCCCGAACTGTCAACTAGTTAGCCAAATACTTAATACTAGTCGTTTTAAACGTAAGATTGTATATGGATAAATTAATATAAACTTATATTTCGAGTTTCAAACCATTTAAAGTTTTATTTGGCCATAATAATCAATAAGAAAATTATAAGTGTCCGATAATAATTTTGAAAATATTTATTTCAATATTATATTTTGTATACAATTTTGATTAATCTACTATGAAATAATCAATTAACAATCGATTGGTTTTTCAAACAAATACATCATATTGATAGGTTTGACAATTGACAATAGGGATGTTACTGTAAATTGTCAAACCAATAAGTATTAGATAAAGCAAATATGAGAATTTCCCCCCTGGTTTGAAGCTATTATACGCGTTATTATTATGTATGTTTCGATGTAATTTGTGGGTTGGTTTTGTGCTCTGAATGAGGTTTCACACTGTGCGGGCATGTTTGATGCTTATCGCGAGTTATGGTTAATATGTTGTTTAATTTCAGGTATTGGGCTCCCAAAAAATAAAGGGCGCACTATTGAACTAATTTTAATATGTGATAAGTACGTAAATATTTATAAAGTACTAGCTGATCCGAAAAATGGTGGTTATTGTTTGTTAATATTATTATGTTGAACAAACAAATGATAATCGTGCATTAATTTTGATGTAATTTTATTACCATAAAACGGTTTTTGTGAGCTAATCTTAAAAGTGATATTTTAGATCATTTAAAAAGAAATAATACATACACTCTTTCATACATATTTTTCACATTTTACGCAGTTTCTTGGCTGGCCGCAGCATGTAATATAGCCTAAAGCTTTCCTCGATAAATGGTCTATCCTATACAAAGAATAAATTTTCAATTAGAACCAAGAGTTGCTAAGAAGCGCTTCTAAAGAAAAAGACCTTTCAACAATTTTTTCAGCTTTCCAATACAATTTAGTATAGATACGTATTAAGTACGGGACCAGACGACTATCTAGCAAGACATTGCAGAATTGGTAATCATTGAACAAAATTAAAAACACTCTCAGAAAAAATCTTTATCTTAATAAAGAAAAACTAACCACGTTAAAAATGTTTTTGAGCAATATTATCTCATTACTAAAGCAACCATGTGCTATTTTACAAGTATGTTTTTTTATTATTTTCTTACTTACTTTATATTTGTTTAGTGCAGTAACGTAGTTTATTAATTGTTTATATATTTCATAATGTTAACACATGAATATACCTAAATTTTTTGCCCAACCACGTTGACCAATTTCGTTACTTGCGATTTTCAAGTACCAAGAATTCATACATAATTATTTGGAGTAACAAAAGTCGTGTAAACCAGATCGATACCAGCATGCAACGAACAAATTTATATTTAATTACGGGCACTTGCAAGGAGAGCGGATAAAAATATACAACGGCACACTTTCATCAATCATTCCGATTTTAAAGGGAAAAAAATAATCGAATTTCGCCGTAATCGAAATCGAGGTTTGGAATAATGATGTTAACAGCTTATTGTTTGACCGGCCTGTTAGCTTTTTGGAGCGAATTATATTTTGCGCTTCGCGGAAAAGCGGCGAAGGATCAGTTTTATAATATAATAATAACTAATTGTGATCGCAACTTTGTCCACGTGGAAGAGTTAATTATCATCACAGTATTTATTATATAACTATGGAAACAGGAAAGCCGCCTCTGTAGCCAAATGGGGAAACGGGTTGTTTAGCTTGCGTGAGAGGTCCTGGGTTCAAATCCCAGGGAAACAATAGATAGATCAATTAAAACCGATAAGTGAAACGGATGCATTATTATAATAATGAAAGGCTGGATTTTTTTTTGTATGAAAATTATGTAATAATGCCTTATCTCATGTAAGGATTAGCAACACTTAAAAACAGATACAAAACTGTGTTCCCTTTGTAGAATACAAAGAGAACACAGTTTTTGACAACATTATCTTGCAATAATTGGTATTGTACATGTCTAAAGGTAATTAAGTGTTTGGTAATTACACCAAACGATAATGGCGGTAGAGTATAAGACCTCGCTACCGGTAAAAGTGACAGAAGACATGGGAACAGGTAAAATACGCCTCTGGCGTTATGTGCGTATAAGCACAGATTTACACCACATAACCTGGTTAGGGTGAACACAGAAATACACGATTTCTCGTTTGAAAAGTTTAATATTTTTTTACATAATGTACACGATGGCGTTATATTAATTAAAAATTGATTTCAGTTTGGAAGAATTTTACGACACGGGCAGGTTTTTAACCGGCACCCACAGCGTTCCGTCCTGTTACTCTAACCAATTGGACAAAACACATATTATATGAAATATTTAGAATTAAACATTGCTTTAGTAGTAGTAGTAGTTAGATTGTTTAAAAAATGTGTGTGTTACTTAGTCCTTATCCTTCTTTCTGGGGAAGATAAGGAATCATTCTATCATACCTATTTTTTTGTTTCTACACGTTTTCACAGCACACGCAGCGGATGCCCTCAATTTTGAATTTTCCCCGTTTTTTCTACCTCTTCTATTGTTTCTTCGCTCTTACTGATCGCACTGCTACTAACAACGAATTAAAACGTCGGACCTTAGTCAAAATAAATTTTAAATAAGTTATGTGTTTCGTGTATTAAACTGTTTAAAGTGTTTTATTTAAATTAGTCCTACTCGCGTCAACTACAGACAGTATTAATTGTTTCTAATCGATTTATAATATGTCCGAAACATGTTGGACGTCGTTGGCTCACATCTAGCTCTAATAAGTTGACGAGTGCCCACATCTGCGAACACCTTTATGTAACAGTTAGGCTTTGTAAGTGTAAACTTAATATTTCATGTCACAATAGAATACAATAGCTGAACGTTTGTCAACTTCAGAATAGCGTCATAGATAAGTTAGTCCCATTTTACTTGCCTCTTGCCGACGTTAACTTATTATATTAATATTTCGCTAGCACAAGTACATGTTCCTACAATAATAACAAATGGACTGGATAAATTGACTATTTGTTTGTCCGGTTTAATTTTCGTCATTCATATAAGTTCTGTGAAATTCGTGCGCCTACGCCGAGCCCTGTACACGGGTAGATGAGATGACAGAGAAACGACAATGCAGCAGTTGACACAATCTTTATGAGACTCGTAAATTTTTGATGCTCTCGTCGGTGTAATAGTCCACGGGTCGTGGATTCGATTACCACGAGGCCCAACATTTTCTTATCAATTTTTGTAATTTTTCACATATTATTGCATGATGGCACTATATAAATAAAAATCGATTTTAGGTAAAAAAGAAATGACTCAGGCGGGATTTGACCGGCATCCACACCGTTCCGAGGTGCTGCTCTAACCAATTGAACCATGTCCTCAACGATATTAATTGCGTAAGTATTAAGTTATTACGATTATATAAGATAACATGATAAATAAGTCGCTAAGGGTTACCATGTCGGTACTAAGCGAAACACCGCCTCTGGCAACACTTATGCCACCGGTAGCTCGAACGACTTGTTGTGTGCTAGAGAAATTTATTTGCTCTTAATATTATAATTGGAATATTATTCTAATATTTCTGCGTTCAATTATACATTGTATAAATATTGCCATACATGCTCCGATAAAACTAAATTAAACTAGTTACAAATATCGACGTCCCTAAATCTTTTATCTCCCCTGTCAGAATCGACCTCAGTAAAAAACCAACATGTTTCTAATCGTATAAATAAAACACTTTAACGGCTTATAACGCGATTTATATCAGTTAAAATAATTTTTAAGAAGTTCAAGTATGATATATCGCGTTTTGAACCCTTAAAGTGTTTTATTCAATTCTGTACTACTCGCGTAAACTAAAGACAGTATTATTTGTTTCCAATCGATCTATAATACGTCCAAAACATGTTGGACTTCGTCTGGAAATCTGAATATAACCCGGATGATGAACCACTGTCCACAAAAGGAAAACCCGTGAAGCTCTCAAGTCTCTCCCGTCACGTTTCGACTTCAGTCTGTGGATTTCTGAATTTCCAAAATTAAATTAAGACAACAACGTATCTTGTGAAGGTGTTACGTGGCTTGAGTATTTCACTTTTCTTAA